CTTGTTTTTGACATCAGGGAAAAAGTATTCAGTATTTTACCATTAAGTACAATGCTAGCTTTAAGTTTTTCAAAGATATCTCCTAAGTATGTTCCCTTGTACTGTATTTCTAGCTTGATGGGATAGTTTAACCAAAATGGGTGCTGGATTTGACCAAATACTTTTCAGCATCTCTTAAATAATCATGTTTTTTTCTCTCTTAATTTGTTAATATGATAAATTCTACTGATTTCTTTTGGAATATTACATTGATATTGCAGTTTGGGGATTAATTTAACCCGGTTATGGTGTAGCATTTTTTATACATTATTAGAGTAAACTGTAGACAGTACATATTTGGTTGAAAATTTGGAGGTACGAATTTGAAAAATTGTTTGTAGTTTTCTTATATCTTTCTCTGGTTTGTGGATCAGACTAAAGTGACCTCTAAGATGAGTTGAAAAGTATCTTGTTTTTTCCTTTACCAAAACAATTTGTGTCAAATTGGCATGATTTCTGTAATTGTTAGAGCTCCCTAGTGAAAACATTTGGACCTGGAGTTTTCTTCACAGGAAGCTATTTCAGTTTCTGTGTAAATGCAGGGCTACTCTTTACTTCTTTTTTTGGAGGGGGGGCTTATTTTTATTTTATTTTTAAAAAGGTAAAATGAAACAGAACAAAGCAGATCATAAGAAAACACTGTAAGAGACACAGATTCAAAGCAAGACAAGAGGAAATCTACAGTGGCTACCATAATATCTTTTGTTTACTTCTAAATAGTTGTCTGTCTCTTCACACACAATGAATTCATACAGAACAAAATAGTATAAAACTGATCAGAACAGAGTAATGAAGGCATTACAGGCCTTCCAAACCAGACAAAAGGAAAATAAACAATGGCTACCACAATGTCTCTTGTTCTCTTCAAATTAGTTGTCCATACCTTCATGTATGTTGAAATTAAACAATACAAAACAAACTAAAACCACTCTGAACAAAGAATAACAGCATTACTGGATTTCACAGCATGATGTTAGGAAATCAGCAATGGATACCATAATGTCTCTTTTTCTTCAAAGTAGCTGTTCATTTCATCACACATAATACAATCAATTCTCATAAACTTTAGGAGAAATTCTAGGCATGACTTCTTGAGGCAAAGGTGGTAACGCGTGTTTCAAGGAATGTTTCCATTTTCCCTAAATTATCTTATTTATATTCAATATTGTAGAATCTACACTAATAGGGACTTTCTTTTTCAATATTAATAATTTGAAGTTTCTCTTTTTGCCTTAGTACCACTAGCAATAGCAGTTAAATCTTTTTAGGCTTCTACCCAAGGGCTAAGATTTTCAGTATTTTACTATCCCATTTAAGGTTTGTTTTAGATTTTTTTAGTAAAGTAATTTCCATGAGGTTGTATTCTGTTTTCAGGTTATACACCACTCCTAGTTTGGTCAGAATGTTTTTACTTCATCTTCATGAGTGGACGATAGTAGAGGGTCACTGACCAGGGGTAACTGTGGTGGGCTATTGAGCAGTTATGAAAAGACTTACCAAGGCAAAAGCATCAGTATATTTTACTTAGCAGCTCATTGGCTTGGTATGTAACTTTCATGTAGACTTAAGGGACGTGCACCTCCAATTGTACTTTTGTCCCCAGCCCTGCAAATGTTTGTTTCCCAACCAAACTATGACACCACCTCATGCTCATTCAGGAGCTACTACTTTCCTGTAGAAATCACATAGAAATTCTTTGTTTTGTTTTGTTTTTGTTTTTGGTACCAGGAATCAAACTCAGGACTTTGCAATTGCCAGGCAGACGCTTGCGCTGCTGAGCTAAACCTCCAGCCCCACATAATAATTCTATAACCCGGCTTCTTCGGGGCCATGGGCCCTTCCCACTGGCCCACTCCCACCCTAAGGAATAGACCCTGGTAGGTTGGTGCCTTCATTTCTACTTCATGTGTCCTGCAAAGTTCTTTATTTGAGAAACCAAACACCTAGGGCAATCACAACCCTGACAGCACAAAGACTTGGGGGCGATCCTGGCCTGGAATGTCCAACCTGGAGGATCTGTGACTAGTTATTTGTTGTGTGTGACATTCTCTGCAGCAGGGCAGAAGCTGGAAAGTGCTCATGTGAAAAGAGGAGTTATTCCCCAAGGTGGCCTGTAACCTGCAGTTTGTACGGACCAGCAGGAAGCTGAGGACTGAAGCGGATGACCTAACAGAGGGGCAAAATGTGGTGAGTGAAGGTGCAGAGCCCCCAGGAGAAGCAAGGGGAGGGGTGGTGTGGGCCCGTCCCTGGCAGCCTGAGCCCTGGGGCTGCTTCCAAGGCACTCAGCTTCATTCTTGAGATCATCAAAGGGCTTCTGCTTGTGACCAGACTGTGTGCCAAGGGGCCCTAGGAAGGTCCTGCCTGACCTGTCCACAACTTCCCTAAGACTTTGTTCACTGGAAAAAGCCAGGGCATCATCTATGAAGGGGTGACCTGGAGTCTTGATCACTCTCTACCCTTCTCCTTGATAAGAAACAGCATGAAAAATGCTGCAGAAGCCTCAAGCTAGAGGAGGGGCGAGAGGGGAGCTCTGCAGAGTGGTCATCGTGTGAGAGAAGCCTCGGTGGTCAGCAGATGTGTCCTTGTGGAGACCCCCTGGCCCACTGGGAATGACCGTGGGCAGCTGGCAGGTTGACACGGCCACACAGCTGCAGGGTTCAGCGGAGGCAGGCTTTACTACACAGGAAGGGGGATATGCCCAGGGCTGAGCTCCATTTACCCTAGAGCTGCAGCCATTCCCAAATTATTTATTTTCACCAGTCTCAATTTTCTGATTGCTAAAATAAAAGTAGTAATAGTATCTATCTCACAGAATTTATGTAAGGGTTATTAATGAACATGATAAATATTTAGTATTTACACTTGGTTGAACTATAACATGTCCTTTTGAAATGTCATTTATTAATAATAGGTACTACTAAAATTAAACCTCTGCATGATTATTTTATTTTTAGAACTGGGAATGTTTTTCTAGTATTTTCTATTAATATCCTGAAACATAAAAAATGTTTCTCCTACACACACTGTTTTGCAATCTATACTTTTCTTGGTGATTATTGTAAATATTTTATTTTAGCAAGTATTATTAATACACATTATTAATATGCAGTGGTAAGATGATATTTCATGGCATAATAGTTTTTCATTATATTTTTCTTTAATGGTATTCATGTTTTTAAGTGATCCATCCAAAGCATAATACATTCTACTATAGACATAATTTTTAAAAGATACCTCTTTAAAAATATTGCTTTTAGGTGTCAGGGATTTAGCTCAGTGGCGTACTACCTGCTTTACAAGTGTGTGTTTGTGAATTAAATCCCCAGTACTGATAAAAAAAATACATTGCTTTTTTCCTTAAAGATCCTTGTTAAAATTAAGAATTTAATTAAAAGTTTGGTGCATTGTAAGAACTCTAAATATGTAGAATCTCTGCATTCTAAAATAATTTTAAGTTGGAATTTTATAAACACATTATTTGAATGCTAATTCCAAAATCCTGCCAACAACATTTGGCAGGATTAAACATTATGTCTAAACTAAAATGATAAACAAAAATATTTTTATTGCCTACTAAATGTTTATTTGGGAACAATCAGAGGTAAATATTTAAAATACACTTGAAATTGTGTAATTTTTTATTAAGACTGAATGATTTTACCTCTACCATTTTGATATTATCTTTGCTTCTAATTTTTAAAAAGTAACTTCATAAAGGATACTAAATCTTAAAATGCTTAGATATGATAAATTCTTAGTTTCTTTATACGTTTGTAAAATTCCTTATTGTCAATTTGACAGTAGTTTCCATCCTAATAATTATAGATATAACCATACTGAAAAATCTAAGGAAATAAAAAAATTCCTTTTAAAAATTTTGATGGATTTTAAATTGTAATGTATTTGTGGAAGACAGATTTTGTTGTGTGACCCAATTCTCATTCTCTTTTGTTTGATACAACTATCCATTGAAGCGATTCTATACTATTCTATAACTATTGTATTATAATAGGTTAGTTAGCTACACTGACTTCATTCATTCTGAAATTGAAATTTCCTATTCTCCAGAACAATATTTCAAAGTCTTAATACTCTGTTTGGGAAACAAAACTATCTCTATCAGAATATGATTTACTTCGATATGCAAAGTAGCATGTAAAACAATAGATCGCAATGGTAATATATGCTTTACCTTAGCTAATGAAGTGGACTCACAGAATGATACTGACACATTCTTCTCATGTTATCTCAATATTAATAGATAGTAAAATATGATTAAAAAAGAGATAAGCCCATAAAAATCTATAAAAAGGTTGTTTGGTCATAATATTTAAAAAAATAATGGACAAGGAATAATATTTCTTTTGAATAGCACAGTTTTTATTTTTTATTTTTGAGACAGGGTCTCACTATGTAGTTCAGGCTGACTCTGAACTCAAGCTTGCAGTGATCCTCCTGCCTCAGATTCCCAAGTGCTGGGATTACAGGTGACACCACCATGCCCAGCTACCAACACACTATTTTTAGCTATTTCTCTCAGTTGTTTAACTGATATTTTCTTAGGGACCTAACTGTATTAAAATATGTGAAAAAAGTAAGATATTGATCTAGTAAGAATAAACGACAGAAGATAGGGGCAATATTTATCAATATTTTTTCTATAACATATACTATACTTAGTAACATTTATGAGGGAGTCACCCAGGCACCACCTAAGCAGAAACAAACTTTGGGCATTTACTAAGCACCACACTTAACATTAATGCCAGACACAAGTCTGTTGATCCTGAAATAATTAATTTAGTTATATAAGCAGAAAATGGAGCAATTGATAAATGAATTCAGCATATACGGTACTATTTTAGATGAACAACTGCAATAAAATGAAAATATTATTATGAAGGATAAATATGTTGTATGGTACACACATTTGCTAGTATTTTCATTTTATTTTCCTTTTTTAAAATACAGAACACTTCAGGAATTTGCGTGTCATCTTTGCACAGGGGCCATCCCAATCTTCTCTATATCGTTCCAGCTTTGTACATGTGCTGCTGAAGCGAGCTCTAACAATGTAGTTTCAAAGCATAAATTTGCCTTAAATATTTTAGGACACATGTATTTGTCTGTTATTTCACTATTATAACAAATAAATGTTCCAGACACAGAGATAACAAAAGCTTATGAAAATTTGAAATAACTCTTAATTTTGCCATAGTGTATTAAAATTATCTTTGCTTATTAATTAACACAAAACAAAAGCTAATTGCTTAATGACTACATAAAATATCCAAAGAAATATGTGCTCTTACAAAATAAAAATATAAACACTGTAATCTTTTGTGTTTTCTCCTATTGGGATTTCTGTTATTTTTTTTAGTACTCTAAAGCTTAGAACTGCTATAGTTTCCTGAACTTTTATTTTTGATAATAAATCTTGTTCTAGTGCACAAGTTTTCTTTGTGTTAATCTATATAAGATTATCTGAGTAAAAACAACAAAAACACAAAGCAAAATACAATAATCATAAGGCCAGACTTACTTATATCCATAAAGACGAATAGCATTTTCCTATTTTAAGAAGAGCATTTACAATTTGTAAATATTTAGTACAGCTTTTGTTGGAAGTCACACAGAGAAAAGCAGACATACTAAAGAAGTGTTTCACTAAGGTTTTACCCAATCTGAACATCAACGAGCACATTTTCTTTGCCTTAGGTGTTTTAATTACATATCAGAATATCAAAATTCTTTGAGTGTACAAACATTTGGACTTTAGTAAGTACACGTTTCTGGCCTTACTGTAAAAATTCTTAGATAAATTAATATTTCTAATGAAAGGCTCTGGTACTGTGTTTGACAGAACTGCCAAAAGTCATCTATGAAACTACTAAGCATGAGGAGTTATTGTGGTTGAGATCAGCGCTGTTTGGGAGAACAAATCACACATATTTTTGTCTCATTTGACTAGAGATGGCAACTGGATTGTAAATCCTTTCAGTTTCTAATTGCAGTTCTATCATAAGACTTGGTGGTTATAATTAATAAAAGATACTCATAAAATAAAATACTAGATAAAATACCATAAAACCACAATATTTGCTTAACAATGGAAAATTATACAGCCCATCAAAAATACATACTAATTTCTTCCTCTAACCAAATAATTTATTTCAGCAGTTTCTGTTATACTTAATGGAGAACAATAATAAAGAAAACTACAAGAACTGAACTAATAATATAAGGAGTAAACAAACAATACAATGTGTTAACATTTTTAAAAAATTACAATAACAGAAATTCTGCCTTCAGTTCAACTCAAAATACTACCATTAGCTTCAAATGCATTTATCCCATCATTCCTATCACTTAAGCAGTTCCGGAAGCTTTCTTTTGTGAATGTATTTACAAATTGTGATTTAAAAAATACACTTCCATTGGAGAGTAACATCCGATTGAAGGCCACTCCCCAACCCCCCCAAAATCACCATGTGTCCTCATCTACCCTATTCATCAGTCCTGGTTCCATGTGTCTTTAGCTCTTTATCAAAGTCAAAATGACCATTAAAGGTTAACATTTGGAATTTATTCAGCACCTTGAGATAAACATGCAGTGCAGCTAAAGATATTCATGAAAATGACTTCTAGAATTGCTCCAGACAGTGGCAGGAATGACACAATAATTGTGTTCCAAGTGAAGTAAGGGGGAGAAATTTCAGGGTGATACATGTCATTATGTCTTTGACTGTAATAAATCACTTTTAATTTAAATGTTCACTGTATTTTTACTATAACTCATGTAGAATACAACGAACATCATTTCATATACCATATGAATACTAATACTATTATTTTAGACTTCTATGTGTTGCTGTGGTTGTTATATTTTCCTACAATCACACAAAATCTTTATTTCAGAATATTTAAAAAATATTGCATTAGCATTAAAGTTGTATTTCACCTTTACAGTTTTCTTAGTATACTATGCATACTCATCCAGGTTCTACTTGCTTATTATCAATGACCTATACATTCTTTAGCAAGTTAAACAAATTTTATTGTTTTTAAAATAAAACAAAAGTCAACCTCATGGTGTTATCTGGGTACTGGTGAGTCCTCTAATGGTATCTGGGAAATTATATATGCTGTATGTGTGCAAAATCACTAATTAGAAGTTTCAAAAGTTTTAGAAGCAAGAAGTAATTACTTCTTTTACTTTTGTGCATCTATTTAATCAGCCTGAATCTGTACTTAAAATAAAATTTAAAAAATTTAGCAAGTCCAGCTGTTTTTAGTTAGCCAAGTTTTATTTATTTTGAAACCAATCATGACATTCAACTTAAAAATGTAGTCATCAAGTTTGCATTTAAGAGATCTATAATATTTAGAAACTAGCAATCAAAGAAACAAATTTAGATAATGCTGCATGCCTGTGTCCCATGAGTTAAGGGTAAAATGATATGCAATATTAAAAATCTTTGAGTTAAAGGGAAATTCTATTTCCAGAACATTTCACTAGGAATTCTAGTCATCTACTGTATTTGATCAGGGAAACTGATGTGTCTTGATTTGAGAGGACAGACCCTGTTGCATTGAAGTACATCCGTTCTTTGGCATCATTTTCATAAACAAGATCAACATGACTATTCATTTTTCAAGATAGATAAAATGATAGCTATATTTTAATTGCATCATTATGTACTAATCAAATTTTCTTTACTGAATGCCATGCTTTATAATACATAGAACATACCAAAATAGGATTCTTAAACACAGTGCATTAAATTAAAGGGAAAATCTTATCATCTGAAAAAATGTCCTATCATTTTAAGAAGGTCTTTGAAATCTAATGTAAAACTTAGGATTTCAGGAATTGGAGAGGTAATGTTGGAGACAGGCACACACATAAGATATCTTTTCCATATTTTCTATTCTCTTTTCCATGTAAGCTTTTCTTATAGAATTTCCTCATTATTAAACACAATTGTTTATTAGTTGCTTCCTTTAATCAAGTAAATGAAAAAGTGTCTTTTAAAATTTTTAATGACGTGTAGTGATTAATGGCTGTGTGCACCAATTGAATGTAATTGTCTTCAGATCTTATGTTTGCAAAACCAAGTTTGAAAATCCTCACAAATAAATCTAAAATTTTGCATACAACTATGCCACACATGATATGCCTTGATATATTATAAAATTATCTTATCTAATTTTTAAGAAATTTAATTCTGATTATGGTGCATATATTTACAATGAACATCCAAGGAAATTTGAACAAACATAAAGATGGCTTAAACATCTTGCTTTAGGGGAAATAAGAAACAAAGGGAGAATTATTTTAGTTACCGTATGAAAAATTTTAGACATCAAATACTCATGTGTTAAAAAAGCAGTAATTCTATACATTTTAGGCCCACAGAATAAGCTCACTTAATCACTATTTATTTATCTTCGAAGTGGTCTTTGGTTTACACAGAATATTTTTCTGCTAGGTTTATAATGATGATTTATATTGAGAATGTAAGTGTTAAGACAAAACATGTCAGGTCTCTTTTTAAATAAAAATATATTCATTCTGTAACATTCAATTTCAAAATACCACGGCACTGGCTAATACTTTTCACTCTGCAACTATGGAAAATAAAACCCCATTATTATTTTACATTTCATAAAAGGGAGCTTTAATCTTGCTTTCCTTTCTATTTTAGAATTTATAAGCTAAATACTTTTATACAAATCTTGTGTTGATTTTCCTTAGCCTGTTAAATGTTTAGTTTATATTTGAATATGTTTGTTTATTAATATTGATTCCATTTAACTTTAAGATAGAAAACTATGACATATGAACATTTAAAATGTTTTCTGAGAAGCATGAAGTTAGACATGTCGATCTAACATGGTATGGACACTTTAATGAGTTGCTGTGTTTTGTGGATAATAATAATTTTGATTACCCAGAAGAGACAAAATTCTAAAAAGAAAAGTGAATTATAGGTTAACAGCACTCTTACTTCAAAACAATATGACTTGAAGATGATGGAATTTATTCATTAATGCCATATAATTTTTCTAGTTTTAAAATATGTTCAGTAGTTTAGAAGATGTTTTTAAAACATACATAAAACTAGGTGTGGTAAAAATCTTTTCTCTCTCTTTTTTTTTTTTTTTTGTCTTTTTATCGGTACCGGGGATTGAACTCACGACTGCATGCTTGCAAGTCAGGTGCTTATGCCGCTGAGCTAAATCCCCAGCCCCCCTTTTCTAATTTTTTAAACATTTATAGGGCTTAGGGATTTAGTCAGTGGTTCAAGTGCTTGCCTGGTAAGCATGAAGTCATGAGTTCAATTCCCAGTAACAACAACAACAACAACAATAATAATAAAGGACCTCATTAAACAAAATAATTATTTTGTGGCAAATATATTGTCCAGTTAAAAATTCTGCAGTAATATAAAACTTATCATTCTTGTTTCTGTATTAATTCAACCTCCAAGTTAAATTTTAATAGGCAGGATATGCAATATTACTAATTTTAAAATGCTTCCAGTTTTATGTGTCTATACAGGCTTAAATGTGGTGAAACTCTTAAATACATTTAGATTTTTAAGGTACTATTAGAATATACAAAGGAAGCAAAATCTTCTGGATAAATGTATTTCATGAGCCTAACTAAAATAATGTAAGTGCTCAAAACTGAGAATATTCTTGAGGAATTGAAATGATTCACTGGCTTTGCCATTTCCAAAGGAATTTAAAACAAAAAAAATATTAAAGATCCATGGGACAGTAAATTATATAGAGGAAAATTTGGAGCAGTTTATTATTTAAGGTCAATTTTTTCATTCATGCAGTATTATAAAAACATGAAAACATGGTGCATATTGTAGAAATTGGCCCCCAAAGATTTTAACTGCATTATGTATATTAGTAGATGGAGGGTTGTATATTTATCATTGCTATCATTGCTTTTGCCACTGGCAACAAGGTGACAATATTGAAAGTTAATTTGTCATTGTGGGTCTATTATTTGGCACTCTGCTCACTCGGTTTAGAGCGTTATGTGGC